TATTTCCGTGTTGGGTCGTTTACTCCTCTTATTACGAAAAGGGGAGATTATCAAGCGCTTTGTATCTGATGTCTGTGGCTTTTACTCCTCTTATTACGAAAAGGGGAGATTATCAAGCGCTTTGTATCTGATGTCTGTGGCTATCTGCTCAGAATCACATATATTCGTTGTTACTGCTACTTGTTTACCGCCTACTAACATTTCAGCAGTGCCTGTATGTTTTCCGTGTTTTCATTTGCAATGCAACCTGGGCTCAGGTCTGACTACCCGCTGAACTTAAGCATATCATAGCGGAAGAGAAGAAATGCAACGAAAAATCACTTGCTAATGGGGAGTGAACGGGGAGTAGTCCAGAGCAATGTTTCGGTGATGTGCCCTTGCAAAGCGGATGATGTGGCTTCCAATTTGTGCTGCTTGTCTAAAGGGAAAAGAGTGGCGTAGTGGTATGTGGCGCCGCTATGACCAGGACACCAAGGTTAAATCCTGCTTCTAGACCAAGCTCTCTACTCACTAAGTTGGTAGTACAATCCTGGAATATCGCTCACACACTATTTCCACAACCACCAAGAATGCCAAGATTCAAAACGATTGAACATGGGTTAGTAGAACAATCTGGAAGTTGGCTGACCGTCACAGCTTATTCTAAAGTCAGCAAACATAAAGGCCTCGTCGGCCATAAAAACGTTTGGAGCATGCCCGCAGATAAATTTGAAGATTCGGAATCCACATTTTTTTTATTGGAAAATGCTTGCTTCTTTTGAAGCTTCACTAAGCTTTTGCTTTCACTTTAAGCTAAAAGTACGCAACAAATCAGTGAGAAGATCATCATGTTCTTTTCTTCGCTGAAGAGACGAACTGAATTCTGATTTTGGTAGCTCTTTCACACTTTTTCGGATACTCTCGTGCACTATTGCAGATTCTTTTCACACACTATCTATAGTGCACGCAAAAAAGCGTGAACGTGACATCTCTTCAGCGATTTTGCATCCATGGAATTGATAAGTGTAGCAGTTCTTTACGCCATACTAAGCACCCCTAATTAGTCTGTTTCCTTCTCCAACATAATGTGATTCCCTCTCACGATTGCAACTATTTTTCAGATAAAGAATTACCTGGTACCAGTAGGCATATAAGATTTTCAGATATAAAGCTTTATTAAATTAACCGCTTTAGTCTTGCATTAGTACAAATCCATTATTTTTTTTTTAATTTTTCGTGAGAGCTTAAATTTTAAATACTTAAATGACATTTCAATATCTCTGAGAAGATCCCATTGCAGATCTCTTAATGTGTAATCTTTTTCTTAGAGTCTCGAAGCTGTAAAGAAAAATGATGGTTCGATCGGTGGTCCTCTCGAACAAAGTGTTCATTGTTTAGTGTACTAAAAACACTGCCTTGGAGCTGAATAGTAGTGACAGAAACTCTAATAAACCCATTCATCATAATCAATGGATTCGAGCTATATGATGTGATTGAGATGTACTTTCTTAAAATGACGTTAATGGACTTTTAATTGCATACAGTATGCAGTTCAGTGAAACATCTTGATTCTCTCTTGCAGTGTTTTGGAAATTTCCATAAGTGGAGTTTCTGATAAACCCGCATTATCTTTTCAAACCGATCTATCAGTTCTTTATTTAGAAGCCATAATCGAACATTCTGTTGTTTATCAGTGAGTCCACGTAGATGTGGCCTGCAGATGTCGAGAGATTGAACAAACGGCAGCTGTGCCTGAACTCACAATTTGACAAAGTTGTCATTTCTTTCTCATTCAAAGCCACTCGGCTCGCTCCTCAGTCCTTCTAGAAAAGTCTTCTTATCCAGTGCTACTGCTTGCCAGCCTAAACAACCTTTTCAATTTTTTTTCATCCATTGGCGAGATATTCAGAGCTTAGAACTTTCAGATATCACCGATTGTTTTGTAGTTCTATCACCCCACCTGCGATTATCATCCTTTCAATTAACACAGTGCAGATCGAGAATTGCATCAACTCTCACCTATTCCATTATATGATGACGGTGCTCATCTATCTGGTCATCTCCCCATTGGCCATTACGAAAAGATTATTTGGCTGGAAAGAAACGAACTGGTAGCTGTCGTTATTCAAATGAATCACGGCTACTTTCACTCCCTTTTAGCACACCTCATGTCCAAAAGACAATGAAAAAGTGATAAAATGAAGCCCTGCAGCGCAGTTCTGAACCCAGCCATAAGAAAAGTCGGGATATGTCGTAAAGCAGATCCTTACCGCAATATTAGCATTCAACAATCCTAAAATAAGGTTCCGGATGGGCCATTAAGCAAAGCAGAATCTACCAGCTACACTGCGTGACTTGTCTTGATGCGTCGCGCATGCGCATATCTTCCCCCCCCCCTTCTGTTTAATAGCTCAGGCATTAGATCCAAATTCCCACAGCACAAATGGAGTTTTACTAGTTAAAAACATGCGTGTCATGCCGTTATGGTCGGGGGAATCTGGACATCTATAATTAGAACCGAATATTTTTCAAATATTCGTATTTGAATGATTTATTCGAACTAGAAAGGTCGAATATTCAAGAAAGTACATTTATTTGATTAGTCGAATATTCAAATAAATAAAAAGAGTTTTGTTCGAATATTTTATTCGATGATCGAAAAAAACAATTAATTCGAATATTCGAATATTCAAATAAAATTTCGAGTAAGTTGCTTTTTCGATTCATCGAGTAAACAAATATTCGAACAAAAATCTTTTCCATTTATTCGACTAGAATATTCGAATCCTGAACCTTTCTAGTTCGAATAACTCAATCGAATATGAATAATCGAAAAATATTCGGTTCTTACTATAGATACCGCCCTGGTTTCGGTTTGGGAGGTACTCACAGCAGATTCTGCTGTCGAACGCAGTAATTTCCCGGTGGAATCCAAAAATCCTCAAATGGTATAAGGCGCGAATTTGGAACTAGACATTATTCAACATTTTAGCATTTCTCTTCCGCACGGGCTACCTACTTTGTGCGTTGATATGCAGTCAATAAATCTACTTATTCGTTTATCCACCTGCTTATTTGTTCATTTATCAGGAGGCCTCCACAACAAAACAAAATAAAATTCCGCAACAGCACTTCGCTACAAGGTAAACAAGATGATTCATCTTTAAGCACCACAGGATTCCCTTTCTTCTAATTGTGCCTTTGTAAACTTTGGTTTTTGTTTTCCGAAATTGAAGAGGACTGTTATATTACACCTCTAGATTGTGGAAAGGATCTCACTTTTAGACGGCAGAAGTGTACCGGTTTCAATAGTGAGCGCAAAAATAAATTTGGCACGTGGGAAAACACTTTACAATGCTCCCTTGATTGCTGCATGTGCATACGAAGACCAATCGCTTCTCATAGAGCGTCGAAAGATTTAACCACTTTTTTCGCAAAACCACGGGATTTCGTCCCGGCGGCGGCACTCATCACTTGAGCTACGCTCATGCAAAATAACATCTGATAATCGATCTACAATTATTCCTTTCTACTTGAATGTAAAAAATTTACTAGATGGGCTGCTACCGCCTGAGCGCCTGGTAGTAGAAGAAGAGGTTATGTGATAGATCCTAGCGCATCACTGGTGGCTCTTTGTCAATCACATTGTGAAATTTCCTCCCGAAGCAACAAAAGAGCGCATCTCCTGTGGGAGTTTAGATCAGAGCGTGTCGCGAATGAGGTCCCGAAGATGGGGGTTTTGGGATTTCAGTGCCATGCGAGAGTGGCCCCCCTCAGACACAACATCGCGCAAGTGCGACGTCATAACGCTCAACCTAAAGCAAGGAAAACGACCGAATGGGGAAACTTACGCCTTGGGGCGGGGTCCTCCGAGCTGTTCGAATTCCCGCTATGCGGCAGAGTACGCATGCCGTCACAGTTAAAATGTAGGGTCCCGCAAGGACTCTGCGTCTCTGCTTGGTGGGGACCGTCGATTCAAATTGTATGGCTTTGGAAAACTCATGTTCTAGCCGTTTTCGCGCCTTCTAATGTGGATTTTCGGAATCAGCGTTGCGGATAACCCTCGGTAAGTGGATTTTCTAGAAATCGAGTTTTTGCCCGGACACTGCATTTAAATTGGCCTGAGGCTACGGTCATGCAAATGGGCATACAACCTATCTAGATGTGTGTGTGTATTCATAAGTAGATGTACATAAACAAACTTGCACGTGCAGATATTGAGATAGATGGCTAGATATGAGAAATAAATTTATTTGAAGTTGTAAAGATAGCAGGTCAAAACCCTGATAAATAGATTAGTATCATTCATTATCTGACTAAGAGACGCGAGCACGCTTTGCGTACGTTTGATTGACAAGTTCTAAACAACGAACATGCTCTTCCAAGATTCTAATAGTATGCAATTTATTACATTGTCATCTATTCTCAACCGGAAAAGAGAATGATGCATTCGTTTTCTAAAGCCTCGGGGCATAGTTCACGCGGATTTGGTGCCACGTGATTCTCCCAAGACAACTGTTACTCGTCCATTGCATGCCGGGCATCTTGCATTTAGCATTGCATTTCGGTTGTAATAGTTAGTTGCAATTAGTCATGTTGGAAAACTAACAACCGAAATGCAAGATGATCGGCGTGCAATAAGATCGTAGCAGTCGTTTTGTTAGAAGAATCGCAAGGCAATGGAACTGCGTGATGTATGCCTAGCCTTTGGAACACTCGGACTTCCTTTTCCTCCAGTTTCAAGAAATGAAGTATGTAGAAGGAGGTAACAAGCTGATAACCTCAAGTATGAGAAGGTTCCTGTTCATCGTAATCTGTTGTTCTTGTTTGGCACCCGTTTCACAATGAGATATAGAAGTTCAGAGTTCAACGGAAGAACGTACCTCGTTGTCTTATCTGATCCCTGCCTTCCAGTAGGAGGAAACTCAAGTGAAGCAAATCAAATCTAAAAACGCGTCCCATCGCGATATCGTCAACATGCGCGCCGCACGTCCTTTAAACTCCATTTATTTACTGATGTTGTTTACTCTGGAGGATGGCTGTTTATTTGATGTTTTTGTTTGTAATCCGATCGCGAGAACGATGTACGTTACTTCGTTTCGACAGGAATCGCGAGCCATTAACTCATTTGCATTCTGCTCATTCAGATGGCCCTTCCTGCAAGGAATCTCGCTGCGGTTGCCTCTATAGGACTTCGGTCGGTGCGCCATTCCAGCTCCTCGCCAAAGGTTCGTCATTCGTATGGTTCTTCTAGCTTGGCACGTGCCTCTTTCAATTGTTTTTCATGCTTTCGGCGCCCTCCTGCTTACGAGGCTTCCTTCAATTTGCCTGCACTCTGCAATTGTGATGCGGTTATAGGTCGCTCTATTGGGTGCCTCTGGTGGCATTGGACAGCCCTTAGGTCTTCTACTAAAGCAGGATAATTTGGTAAAACATCTAGCTTTATATGATGTTGTCAACACCCCTGGTGTCGCAGCGGATCTTTCACACATTGATACTAATGCTAAGGTGAGCTTCATTTTGTTTGTTCACCTGCAATTTTATACCCTTACGGAACTTGCCCAGGTGACCGCTCATACTGGACAAGGAGAGCTTGCTGCTGCTGTTGCTAACGCTGATATAGTGGTGATCCCAGCTGGTGTTCCCCGTAAACCGGGAATGACTCGAGATGATCTCTTCAACACCAACGCTGGTATTGTCCGAGACCTGGTCGATGTTGTTGCTGTGGAAGCTCCAAAGGTGAACCACACACTTCTTACTGCTCGGTAATGCTCTGTTTTCAACGTTTAAACCTTCTTTGTAGGCTTTGATTGCTGTTATCACTAATCCGGTAAATTCCACAGTCCCCATCGCATCTGAAGTGATGAAAAAACATGGCGTTTACGATAAAAATCGAATCTTTGGAGTCACCATGCTCGATGTTGTCCGTTCACAGGCGTTTGTTGCCCAGCTCAAGGTCGGTCTTTTTCGCACATGACATTGGAGATTTTTCTTCGTTCGATAAATTTTATCAAAAAGTGCGGTGAAGCGATATACCACTTGGTTAGCTTAGATCTGCTCAATTCATTTTTCTGGCTATATGGACAGGATAATACTAGTCTGCACAGCGTTTTAAGTCAGAATGAATCTCGCGAGAAACTCCTTTCTGTGCCTGTTGCATTCGATATAGCTCTACTGAGTGGGAATCACGCCAAAAGAAGACCATATTTGATTATCATCTGTGGACCTGTTTTCATACACGTATAACTGGCCATTGTCACAACTCTGACTGCGAAGTATACCCGGAATAATACGACAAACCTTTCGTGTTTAAAAGCTTCAACGATTTTTTTCCGAATAGTTTTCAATATTATTTTTTAATTCTTTACATTATCTACAGTCTTCTGTTCCTGTTCACTGGCTACGTTTTTATTCCAAAATTTGCTTCTTCTAGAACCTCGATGCTACAAAAACTGTTGTGCCTGTTGTTGGTGGTCATGCTGGAATAACCATCATTCCTCTTCTTTCACAGGTAAATTAGTTTCTGTAATCTATGTGAGAGCCACTATAAGTGCATAATTCAGGTCACACCGAAGGTAAGCTTTACGGAGGATGAGATTCTGAAGTTGACGCCAAAAATCCAAGAAGCTGGAACTGAAGTTGTAAAAGCCAAAGCTGGAGGGGTAAGTCAGATTACTGTTTGCTGTTCTCTGCTGTTCAAATCCGTGCTCTTTTTCGTTTTACTGTTTTTTTTTCATCGTAAAACATCAAAATCGCACAGTGTCAAGTTCTATCTAGCAACATGTCAGTGAAAGTGTTAAATCAACACAAAACCTGCACGGTTTCAGGGCTCCGCAACTCTTTCTATGGCAGTAGCCGGTTGGCGATTCACGAACGCCCTTCTTCGAGGACTGAAAGGGGACAAGAATGTTCAGTGCGCTTACGTGAAAAACGATTCCGTAAAAGGAGTGGAGTACTTCTCAACTCCTCTGGAACTTGGACCCAATGGCATAGAAAAGATCCTTGGTGTAGGAAAGGTTTGTCCATAGTTAATTTTGACATGTCAGTTTTTTCTACAACTTTACCTTACAGGTGAGCCCATTCGAGCAAGAACTGATCAAAGAATCAATTCCTGAACTCAACAAAAACATCCAAAAGGGTATTGCTTTTGTAAAGAAGTAGGTACTAGTCTTGAAATAGCTGAATTGCGTCTTCTGATGTTTAGTCAGTACATTGTTTCAATACAGATTTCTATGAGTGATTGCAGGAATTTGTCAAGTTGCAACATTAGTTCGGTGTTTTAGTTTGGTCCTATGCATGTTTCATGTCTCAATAATAAATATATCAAGACTGCCTTTGATTTTTACATCATCGTTATTGTATGGTTATTAATCCCTTATCTGATGTGGATTCAGTTGAAAACACGAATCCTCGAAGGAAACATTTTGAACAGTTTAAGGAACACGCAATAGTTAGGGTGTTAGGATCTCTTAATCGCACATCTTGCTTCATCGTTATCCTCTGAATACAAGGCATTAACCTGGTCAGCGCAGGTCGTGGAGAATGTTTGGTTATCTCTTTGGTAAGAAGGTTGCTAGTACATTGCAGTGGGTACCAATCCAGCAAATTTCCTTTGTGCAGCATTTGCTAAAATTTTCAGTACTGTCTTGCTAAACAAATGAGAAGTACCTAGATGAGCTTATTTACATTTAATGAACAACTAACTGCGATTCAATCTGAGGTTCAGTGTAAACGTCTGCAGATCATATTGAGATTTGTCATCCGTCATTTCCGCCGAAGTCCTGATTGTACAATTTTCCACCGGTCGGCAATTGTGAAAGGACCATAAGCATTTAGAAGCAATCGAAGCAAATAATTACAAGTACTAAATCGCGATAATCCATAATTATGAGAGGCGCTCCAAGGAAGCTTACTAGTTTTTATTGTCTATCTTACTATCACTTTCACCAGAAGCTCTTTTATCAGGAAATCGAGTTGGGTACTGGCTTGTAATCCTCATGTTAAAGCGGATAGCTCCTTCTGTTCGCGGTCTTCGCACAACATACAGGCTACTATCAAGTGACGGCAAGGATAGTGAAGGGGGGAGTAAGAAGGTTAGCTCTGAGCTTTAGTTTGACTTTGATTTGACGATGATTTCTTATTTTTTCACTCATTACGTAAGTTTTTTGTGATGGGTTTTGAGAAACTTTTTGCTTCCTGAGGGCAACTTTTTCAATTTTTTCTTCAATGTTTTAGCCTCCTTTGAGTACCAAACAAGTCCTCGGTGATGATTTATTGGATGCAGTGAACTCTGTTGCAGAAGACTTGCACAAAGATGATCCAGCGGCAAAGAAGGAGTATGTTGCACTTGTTTGAACATTGAAATAGCGACAAGTGCACTTTGCATTTCTATCTTTTCCAGAACTAAAAATACTCTGATCTCAAAGCTTATATCTCACGAAAAGGCGACATTCGACGAAGCCACTAATGCACAAATGCAAGAGATGCTCGATGACAAAGCAATACAGGGTTTGCTCACTTCTGTGTCTGCTGAAACAAAAGCATCCAATGCACTTCCGAACAAGTCTGTCATTAATATCTGATTTAACCATCGCAAATGTTTTTTTTTTCAGGAACGCTTTGTTACGACAGGAGCGAAGAGGACTTCTGCTGCTCAGAAAAGAAATTTTCTATCAAGCTGTTCAAGTGAGTGTTGCTATCTGTCTTGACTAAGTCATGTGTAATGTTGCATTTTTCAGAGCGGAGTGAAACCAGTGGAGGCGCAAAAACTAGCGGAGAATGCTGTAAATGAGGCTCAGCAACGAATAAACGCGCAAAGAAAAGCGAAAGCTGAAGGGGTTAAGGTCAGCCATGTTTTTGGCTTTTCCCCATTTATTGAGTTTCTCAACAGGCAGAAGAAGAAGCGGAAGAAGCGAAAAAAGTACAGCGAGCCGAATCCGAGCAAAAATTTTATGATTATGCCATGCAGATGGCTGAGTGAGTTATCAGAATTATTACATTAATTTAGTCGTGAATTTGCTCATTATTTGTACCAAATTTTTATGCTCTTTAGTTTTTTTGCTTTTTTAAATACTTTTTGTATGCGCTCCTGCACACCGATGCTCTAGAAAAATGCTTTATCACGACGACATGGTCACTTCTGGCATGAAGGCTCGTAAAACTATTAAGCCTGATCCAGCTGTTCCATCTTTACTGAAGACTACAAAACGACTTGGCATTTGGAAGAGCCTCGATGATTGTCAAGAACTGGAACTTGGATTTTGGAAAGAATGGGACTTGCGAGCGGCGAGGTCAGAGTTTGTTGATATTTTTGATATTTTCGGCTTTTTTTTTGATAGTCATGCTTAGATTCGTTCTGTTCAATTTGCAATTGTAAACTCGAACGTTATGTTCGATCTTTGATTACTGTGCCTGAACAATACCAGTGTTACGTTTTAGGATCATGAATCAGTCGCTTGGTCCTGAGAACTCATTTGAAGAGCAAATCAAATGGACTGAAGACGGCAAGCAGTGGCCATATCCAATTGATAACGAGTATCTGATGGGACCTGAAGCTGATGTTGGTTTTTCTATCATAAAGTCTTTATTGCTATTATACAGGCAAAAGGTGGGATCAACTTTTATGATTACGTAGTGATTTTTCAGGTTCCCTTCTACGAGCACATCTTCCTCGAAAGACATCTTGCTGGACTGGGATTGCCAAAAGAGGGACCAATAGCTCACTTTATGGAGCTTGTGAGTATGCATCTGAGTGCTTCATTATTATAATCACAATAGCTACGATCTAATGATGAAATAGCTTTATGATGTAGTTTTTATGGAAAAATTTCTTCAAAGTGCATTGATAGATTAAAGTAACATAATCCAGAAAGCAGCATTTTTCAGAGATTTCTAATCTATATGCTTTGAACTATAATATCGTTTTTCTTATAGGTCAGCAATTGCAAGGTAGCAAATGCATCCTGAGATTTACTTTAGTGAAAGTTTGAAAATGTCAAACATAAAAATGGAAATTATTCGTAGGTATGCGTTGGTCTCTCGAAGAATCCTTATATGACGCTAACCAAGAAAATGGATCATCTTCAATGGTTTGCCAAATTCTTCAACAAAGAGAAGCAAGCTTTAATCAAAAAACTTCACGAACAGGAACAAATAGCAGCACAAAATTCATAGTTATTTATAGGTGTAGATGTCATGATGAGTTTTGAGATCTGTCCATTTTTTTACTTAGATTTAGGAGCTTGTTATTGTTATGATACTGTTAACATGTATGTATGTAAATACAGTATGAATCAATTTGCGATACGTTCTTGACTTTGATAAAAGTTGACATTTTTGGGACAAACTTTCCGCTGGATTGAAAGTAATATAACATCTGTAGTCAGCATCCGCAGTGAATAACCAATGAAATGCAGACTTCGATGCATAGAATCATGTACACTGGTAACTCTCAGTCTAAGTGACAAAGAAAGCACAATTTTTTTCTGAGAAGAAAAAGATAGCATTTGGGACTGATATCCGCGGATGAGCTTACATAGGGAAACGATTGTGAACTAAATTATAGCGAGTAGTAAGTTGGAAATATCCCATATCTCGGCGCTCTGAAAATTCATGTTTTATAGCCTATCGAGACGCAGACTAATTAATGGTCCGACAGTCCAACTGGGCGGTGCCCACCACCTCCAGATGTGTGTGCCTAACCGGGTGACCGGCGGCTTCCCTTCCCCCTCTTATTCATATGAATATATACTAAAGATTCTATTCATTATTATGTTCATATAAAGTAAGACAACCAGGTGAAGATTCAAGTCAGGAGAGTCCAGTGCCTCATCTGCCTTGCTCTTTCTTATCTTCTCGTCTGCGCCTCCATTTATCGCGTGCTGCCTTGGCCTTACGTGCTCCGGGGGCATTTGGCTTTGGTACCATTTTCTTCTTTGTTTTAAATCGAATCCTGGCACCTTATATTATCTTGTAGCTCTTAGTTTCTACAGATACGCGGACACGTCGCCTTCATTCGTTGACCAAATTGAGAAATTAGCCAAAACCCATTTCGAGCTCGTTCCATTCTTCTTTCATTATATAATATTTAGCTCTTTTTACGCAGTTTTTGTGCATTTGGTAGATCTTGCTTTCGTTTATAATGTAAACAACGTCGCCAATCTCACTTTTTTCTGTGGCGAAATATTTGGTAAAGAGCTGCGAAATATGTTTTTTTTTTCATAGCTCTTTTTTGGGGTGAGTCCAAATTTTTCTTTTCAAGCTCAGGGATTTCATGCTCAGAATTGTGGCAGAACAATGCCGACGAGTCCACGTGAACAGAAATGACAAGACCAGGGCAAAAATACAAAGGACATATCAAAATTCAACAAAGTAAATTAAGTAAAGTAAATTGAATAAAATTAAATAAGCCTAGAATGAGATTGTTTCCAAAGTGTATTTAGGAAGATTGCCTTTTATCTAGACAAAATGTTTCGTTTTCATATTATTCTTTGCATATCTTCTTCTCTACAATCGCCATTTCCAATTTGTGAATGGTTTTAAGTCCACGAAAAAAGAAACTAACTTCCTCTTCGGGAGGAATCGGTATTTTCTTCTCATCTTTAACGTTCTATAGCCACCTTTCACCTTTCATGGACGGAGGTTCAAACAATCCACATTTGAGGCCCTACCTCTAGACTATTGAAGAGACTTCTCTAATTCTCAAAAATTGTTGTTACTTTCTTCTCTTCTTTACAAAAAAATGGTTGATGTTCCAATTGAGAAATGACGAGCGCCACTTTATCACCAAATTAGCAAGGCTTGTAAAATGCTAATCGCTAAACTTGAACCAACTCCGATAAGGTGCATGCTCTGTTCATTGTATCATCGGGAGCCATCTGGCGCCAGTTTGATGAAACTAGCTGTGGTATTTTGTCTGCTTTTTGTCACAGCAAATAGTTTGTCCAATGAGGATCGGTAAGTCGATTTAGACATACAAAAAGCTTTTTTTTGATTTCAAATTACAATTTGATAGGGTACTCACTCTGTTCCAGTCGTTTACAAGTACCCAAATGTTAGCCAATGCCAGGGCTGTGTAACCTTCTCGAAAAATATTAGCGGAGAATAGAACTATTCAAAAACATTACTATGCCCAGGTGCAAAGAAAGTGGAACTTTCAAAGTATTAGCGGAGATTTTGTCATTTAAAGCTCTTTGAGTGTCGCGAACATCCGATTTGAACTAGTCTTAATAAACTCTCAGCAAAAATATGCTCAAAGAAAAGAACTACCTTTATCGTAAATGTATGATCAATTTTTGTTTTTATGAACAAAGTAATGCAGATTCTGAGGTATTGTAGACGCGAATTTAGCTAAAGGTGTAATTTTTATATTTAAGTCACGTAAAGAAACGAAAACACCGTTTTGCCTTTATCTGGAAGTACTTTCATAAAATTTTGAAGGTTCGTTAGTAGATTTAGCTATATATTGAATGAAATTGTGGCTATAACGGTCACTTATACGGATTCCTGCAAATTGTGAACAATTTTTCAATATACAAAAGAAAAAATTTCTCAGACTCTGATGATACGTTATCATACCTTGCAAGCGAAAAATTCTTGGTGAGCGGCCTCCAGGTTATGAGAGATACACTGCTTTGAAACTTTGGTCAAATCTTCCTGTTATTTGCTGAGTCTTCGTTGAACAAATTACATAATGAACAATCAGATAACGTGGATTGAACCACAGCCTCCATGGTTGTTAAAATTATCACCCAAAAGCTTTTTGAGCTGTGACGTATTTAAAACATATACGCAATGGAAATCATTATACAGGGTGTCCCAAAAGTAAATACACACTTTTTGATCGTGAATAACTCATTTCCCACAGAGTTTTATGCTTAAAAAAAATAACCAAGCAGTAAAGAAGGATTCATCTTAGATTTGCAATATGGAGCGAATAACCCAACTCTCTTCATTACTGTAGACGGTAGAAACTTTCAGCATACAGCGCCATTGTGAATTAGACCATTTCAAAAGAAATTTCCAAAAACATTTAGAAAGTTGTGCATCAGTTTTTTTGAAATGCTGAGTTCCTTGAACAGCCTTTTACGAGTTTTCGAACCGTTTCTAATGATTTAATCACGTTTCTGAAAAACATTTGAAAAATTATTGCGTTTCGTGGCATAACTTAAGGAAATAGTATTACAATAAAGCGCAAATTTCATATTCATAACAGCAACTCAGTTCAGCCACAATAAAGTTTTTGGCTCTTTGAGTATCCATTCTGAGGCAAAATGTAGCCATTAGTGGCTAAGAACCCCCTCCAAAGTTCCTATCGTAATTCTACAGTAATGAAGAGCGACCAGTGATTTGTTGTTTACTGCAAGTCTAAGTTCAAGCCAGCTTTACTGATTGGTACTCAAATCTAAGCACAAAGCTTTGTGGAAAGTGAGTTACTCACGATTAACTGGTGTGTACTTACTTTCGAGACATCCCTTATAGCCAGTGAGTATACCAGATATACAGGGTGTCTCAAAAAATGTTTAGAACGTTTGATCGTTAATATCTCTCTTCCCAAGAAGTCTTTTGCCTTGCTTCAGGTACCGTTTTGTAGAGCTGACTTCAACTTAGATTTCCATTGTAGAACGAATCACCCATCTCTCTTCATTACTGTAGGGTTACGGTAGAAACTTCAAAGAGGGTTTTGAACCATGAAAGGCCATATTTTGCCTCAGAAAGGAAACAAAACAGCCTGAAAACTTTTACACCAGGCTAATTAGAATTGCTGATTATAACTGTAAAGTTCCCAACTTATTAAGATGCTTCATTGAAGAGCTATGCCAGGTGAGAGGTAGCGGCCTTTTTTCAATGTTCCTTAAAAGTGCGATTACGCCGTTTAGAAAGCTTCGTAATCTTGTGAATAGTTGGGTATTGAACTCAGCGTCTATAAAAACCCTATTACACAAGTTTTCACAATTTTATGAAAAATTTTGAAACGGCAGCTTTTTCCATATTGACACCATATGTTTCAAGTTTCTACCGTAATCCTACAGTAATGAAGAGAGATGGGTGATTCGTTCTATAATGGAAATCTAAGTTGAAGCCAGCTCTACAAAACGGTATCTGAAGCAAGGCAAAAGACTTCTTGGGAAGAGAGATATTAACGATCAAACGTTCTAAACATTTTTTTGGGACACCCTGTATATCAGAACACCATAATTTTTTTACTACATTTCACTGATCTTTAGGAAAGAGAAGCATGATCTTTACACTTTTTGCATAATCTGCTCGTGGACTGAACTTGCGGATTAGTCTCCTATCAAGACTACACGACCATATCACCTCGCCCAATAAGCCCAAGTAAAATAAGCCTAAATCAACATAAGATGACTCGGGTACGATGAAAAATTTTGAACTATTCATGGTATAAGTAATTCAAAGATGAAAAATTTCTATCTGGGGTAATTAGCAGCACAGAAATCATGTATCCGCAAAACGTTCCCAACTTTCATATTTGAATTTTGCGAATTTATACAAACAATGCTCAAACAATGTACAGATGAAGTGTATTTTATAAGAGCTGCTTTTAGAGCGGTATTCCGTGAGAAATCCGTGAGAACATCTAATCTTTGAAGTAGTACCAACCATTTTGTTTATATCAGGTTGGCTAAAAAAACAATTTCGTTTTGACATACAAACCTCCTTGAAAACTTCTTGTTATCTATGAGGGGAAATACTTCGAAGCTGCTATAACCACTCATAATTCTCTGCTTTCGATAAAGGACAATCATGCCCCAGTTCGGCTTAATTTAACTCAGTTTGACTTTTTGAGCTTGGTTTTCATGCTGTAAGGGATGCAGGGATGAATAGTTTGGTATTTGAATACATAAAAGTTTTCTCCATTTAGTGAATTACAACAAAAATTGTGAGCTGTCCTTCTGAAACAAATTTACTCATGGTTGCACACAATGAGAAATTGAGATATATTTTCGTCTTTGGGCTTTTTCTTCGAAGAAAAATAAATTCTTCCCAATTTTCGTTGGAATTTTTCAGTGATACCAAACACTGGTAATGTCTACAAATTTTTCTCTTTTCAGAAGATTTTGTCAAGGTCTCGAATGCGAGTCGAAAGAAGATCTTCTGAAAGTGATTCAACAGCTACAAGATGAGAACAGACGAACTATGCTCAAGTCTTCCCGAGCTGCATCTGTCTTTTCCGAAGAAGCTGTTGGAGGCGCTACTACACGCAGGTATCTCCATAAATAATAGTCTTAGATGTTTTTCTTCTAAGCATCAGTTTAGATCCTCTCTTTTCGAAACAGCGGCATCAAACGCACAATGTGACATCTGTTCATCGCAACCATGCCAGAATGGAGGAAGTTGTTATGCTGATTCTACAAAGCCGTGGACATCGTACCGGTCGGTGAAACATTCTATTCTGGCAACCGGGAATTTGGATACCTCAGTTCTCCATTAGGGATGTGATTGGAAGAGTCCTAACAAAGTCATTGCTCAACCGGCAGCTCGTAAAATTCATCCAAGGCTGAAATATGTAGCTCTGTATTCTCGTCCAGACAGTAATCTTTCCGCGTGAATCAATCACCGCACCGTAATCAAGGCGCTGATCAGCTCGGAAAGAGTGGCACGAGCTTAGAGTGAAACTTGACAGCGAATGATTTACACGAACTGCGCAGTTTGGGGAATGACTTGATTACCCCGGTAAAATGTCTTTCGGAGGGGGGGGGGGGGGAATTTTTTGTGGGGACGTTGGTGAAGCTCTCCGAAATTTTTTTTTGGCATCTTTCCCAAGGTCCGGCACGAGTCATTTTCGTCTTTCCGCTCCGTCCTTTTTGAAAACGAAGTCCCCTCTGACTTTCGCAAATTTTTGCGAAGTTTCCTTTGACCCATCCGAGTTGACTAAAAAACCTAGTTTCGTTTTTTTCAAACTCACAAAAAAATAATTCCTTTGCTTTTTCGCTCTGAAAACGAAGTCCAGCCTGCTTCCAGACAATCTATGCCGGGCCCTGATCCTTCCCAATATTTTTGGGCATATTCCCCAGAAACATTTCCTAAACTATTCTATCGTAAAATTTTAAGATTTCTCAAACGTTATTTTGATTATTTACAAGTGAAAATATATTCATTGCACATTTCTGTGGCTCATGTAGATGGAAGTTCTTTTCAACGTCTTATGACTTTCCCTCAGGTGCGATTGCCCGTCAAACTTTGCCGGATCTCAATGCCAAACCAACATCACGTGCTCTGGCAGTAGCTGCGGGAAAAATACGGATTGTTATGTGGCTAATCATCAATTGAATTGTATCTGCAAACCTGGCTACAGCGGTGAGCCCCAGCAATTTTTTTTTTCAAAAATTGTTCCAAGGCCTTTTTTGAGGTGATCCAAAACGTGGATGCACAATGAAGACGAAGCAAACTTGCCTTTCTGGTGATCCGCATTATCAAACATTTGATGGCCTTCGCTTCGAGTATCAGGGTAATTTATAGAGCTCGTAACCATGCATTTGGTAATATTTACCCATACTAGGTACTTGTCCTTACGTATTCTCCCAACCATGTACAACTTTGGGTGCTCCATTCGCGTACTACTCAGTCAGAGCGGCGAACTCCTTTATTGGAGACTCCAGGTAAGATATTTTAGTGAGGGGAGGGTTAGGAATTTTCCCGAAATGTCTAGATCTTTTTAGGTCCGTCTCAGCAGTGAGTGAGATTGAGGTGGATTTTTACAACAATACCATACACATTGATGGTAGCTCAAGACGTTTGATTGTGAATGGCATTGAGCAACATGTACCGTATTACTGGCCATCAAAGGATAGGCAAAGTGTGAGTTTCATTTTTTACGAAAAGATTTGATAGGAAAGACCTATTGATGAAAATGAATTCTCTGCTAATGAAAACCACAAATACTTATTTTGGCCTGAAATAATAAAATAGGAAAAGCAGAGAATGTGAGTTGAAAGTATTGTATCTAAAATCGTGAAATCAGAGCAAAGAACTTGATTAAATTATGATACCTCGACCGTTGACGCTGATTTTGGATTTTCTAGAAATATTAAAATGTGATAATTCAGATAGCAGTGAAATACTCTTCTGGCACATTCTATGTGTCCAACGACCAAATGATCCAGGTTATCTATGATGTGCAAGGAAATCTTTGTGTTCAGGTATGTAGTGCTTTTAATATTACTAAAGATATATATCTAATATATAAAGAATCGTAAGCTGCATTCAAAGATCGTCAGAGAGCGGGAAACCGAGCGGGTCCCGAAGCGAGCGAGCTTGCAGATTCGCTCCTTTTAGATTACTGGCTCACCAGTATGTTCAATACATTCACACTTCCTAGACCCCATAAGATTTGAAAATACATGCCGATACAAGGGATCCTTGTAAAAATATATTTCTTGCTTGATACAAAGCAAAAAAAGTAGTAGATAAAATGATTCCTCTTCCTCTTCAGCAGCTTCAATGTGGACTTTTAAATCTTCCAACCTACTCTCATTTCTCTTCTAGTATATTTTTACCAAACTGCAGGAAACATTTCTTCATATGGTCCTGTCACTTTGAGGGTACCAAATCTTCTGCATCATTTTCGCTCGAAAGCTTCTTTAGATTCTCTTAGCAAAGTAAACATAGGGCTTCTAGATATTGACTATCGCTGACTCACAGCAAGGACATACACGAAAATTAGGTGATAAAATTTGGTTAGCGTTTACCTGTTATCAGCCCTGCATGGACAACCTTTCAACTTTATTCCCCGGAACTTTTCGCTGTTTGCTAATCCTTCCAATTGTTATCGATAAGCATCTAATACCGAAATCCTTGCCCATACCAAACTTTGATAAGCAATCCTTGTTGGAAAAGCAAGGACATAGTCATTAATTCGTAAGTATTATAATAGTGAGCACTCATATGAGGCTCTTTATGTGTATAAAAGAGTCGAATAACATCAAATTCAGGAAAACAAAGAGAAACAGCCTACTATAAGGGTTTTGTTCAGGTTCCCGACATCCCGCAATTCCAAGGCAACAGAACACTTTGCGGAATAGGAGGAAATTTGGATGGTGAATATAAGAATGATGTTGTGGATAGGTGAGCTTATTAACTTTACCAACATATATCACTGGCAGTCTCAGGCAAATCTTTTATTCTTTTTCGGGAGAACGGGGGGAGGGATACCGAGAGTAGAGCGAATAAACTTTTCTTGGAGAGACATGGTCATACGCATCGTGCTAAAAATTACAAGAAAAGTTCCTGAAATTTTTCCAAATCAATCTGAAACCGGCAACTCTGGAGTCTAAAAAATTAAACAGGCAAGGATGCGCCTCTTTGAAAATTTTTACAAAACTAATTTGAACGTAAATAATTCTCATATGCTTATGAGTTACGGATAAGAACGAGGTACCCGTTAATTCAAAGGGATTGGCTGCTGGAAGGCGATCGCTTGCTTCCGCGACGCAATCTGCGTCTCTCGCGAGCGCGCTCTCTAATCACTTCCTAGCCTTGATTAGGCCTCGAAGCCCCGCCTTTCAGCCACCAATCTGTTGATTCAAAGTGTATTTGTGCATTATTTTATATTCTCTAGAATAGTAGTAGGTTTTCGTGACCCATTCTTGGCGGAGAAAGTCTTTTTCTGTCTTTTATTGGTAGAAGCAGAAAACATGAATTGTTATAAAGTCAATTATGGAACTGAAACAGATATTAAATTAGTTGCAGATATCATAAAAATTGTCATTTGTTGAGCAATATCGAGTTCAGGAATGGCACAGTGTTTCAAATCACAAGTAAAAACGTCAAATCTGGAGACCCCGCATTTCAACGAGCGGAAGACTCATGGATCACGAACAATTTTCTGAAAATTCGAAAAGACGCTCCAGCATGTGTTACGGGAGAGCAAGTCAATAATTTGACAAATTGTGTGCGCTTCAATTCTATGAACTTAGTTAGTTTATGAATCCCCATCGTATTACTTATTTAATTATTATATTCAGGATTCCGAAGAGGCTGTCACGCAGTGCGCACCCATTCAAGATGCTATGGCAGGACAGGGTGTTTTCTCGAAATGCACAGTTCTCGGTAACGACACGATACAGGTAAAATTCGATTTAAAAAATTGATTTTGAAAAATTATGTGCAACTAAATATTTTTCCAGTCAATGTACGACAACTGCGTTTATGACGTGTGCTATGCTCCGGATCAAAAATGCACTGTTCTACAAACTTTTGCTAGAACATGCCAAGCAGCCCTTATTGGTAAAATTTTCTTGTCTATATATAACAATCAAATGTAAATTTCAAGCAAATATGAAGAGGGGGGCCTGAACTTTCCATGTAAATTTGATAACCCATTGACGACGATGTGGACCACCGGTGGCCCACGCACTTTTAGCTGCCAGACGATGTGGACTACCTGGACCATTTCTCTATATATTGGTATTTTTTCTATTTTTACGCTCTTGGAACCTGTAAGCTCCGTCGTCCAAAAAATGTTTGTAGTTGCTTACAAAACAATCTTCCATTCTATATAACCACAAAACTTTCCCACACCGTAAGTGTTGTGCAAAATCGCGTCATCCCACAGTGTCGTCACGCAAAATTAGGTGTCGTCGTCAATGGGTCAAGGAGTCCTAACCAAAATATATGTAAAGCGTCATCTCATATGCTTCGAGGCGTTAACGTTATCGCCAAGCTCTCGCCTAGTACCTTCTCCGTTATTCTCGCCCAACACCGTAACAGCATATCAGAGTCGGTATTAGGCGAGACGAACTTAAGTTTCTCGGCTACGAATATATTATATGAGCTGTCGCTTGGGCAATGTCTTAGGTAAATCCTTACCATCAGTATATAAATCTGTCCTGATCTGTTTCTGAGGATGAGCGAAATTTAGTAAAAGACTTTGGCGACTGGAGGACAGGTACGAAATGCCCCTTCCCAACATGTCCTCCACACTCACAATATGAGGTTTGCAAATCGTCTTGTCCGGCATCGTGCGCAGATTCGAGCTCGCCTGACTTTTGCGACTTACGTAAGTTTTTTATCATACAAGCTGTAAGTTAAATTTCCAATCCAAATCGTTTTTTCATACTTTTTAGCATGTTCTGAAGGATGCACTTGTGAGCAAGGCTATGTGCTGGATAATACACAGATTTCCATGGTGTCATGCATACCAATTGAAGATTGCGGGTGCACCGACAAATATGGAAATTCATACCCAGGTAAGTGACTAGTTTTTTGGAACAAAGACTGGCTCCTACATACCACATGCAGGTTTATGCTGAATACCGCTAAAATGTGTAGCGATTAGATCATAGATCACTCACAAATCTATGTTGAGTTTCAAGCCTGAAGATTCCTATACATGAATTTGGCGTTGGTATTAGTATACATAAGTACTTTTTGCACGTTTCTCAACAGTTTGGTCTTTCCGAAGTTTAAGCTGATTTACCATCCAAATTTGGTAGACGCATAAGTGGCTAGGATCGGACAAGAGATGCTAAAACCAAGATAGTCAGTGGTAGGGGAACGAACTCCGCCAACTGGTCCTGCAACGACATGCAACAATATAGCAAAAGGACCAGTTGTCAGCGAAGGCGGGTCAAACTGGCGGAGTTCGTTCCCCTACCAGATAGTCAGATTTCAGAAGCAATCTAGTTAAATCTGGTTCCTTTTCTTATTGGGAACTGTTCGGGGGATGAATTATGCCGTAACCCAAGCGGCGTTCGTATAATTTGGCAGCAACCGCAAAATCCAATTGCAAAGTCTCGCTCATATACGGTTTACGAGTGGACCAATCAGCGCCTCGGGCATGATACGCTGATTGGTCCGCTTGAAAGGGTGATTTAAGCGAGCGCTTAGATTTGAACCTCGGCCAAATGAATCATATAACTTCTTTTTGGGTCAGTGTGGCTTAACTGGAGGTTTCTATCAGTCTGCAAATATGAAAGCCAAATACACAGATTTTTTGGTCACTGCTTTAAAATAAGTAATTTTTGAATTTTACAATTTTAGTCGCTTTTCTCCACTTCTATCCTTTTTTACATGCACTCTGCAAATATGGTCTAGTAGATCCGATACGTAGTATGACTCGCCCTCCGATGTTTTTGGTTTTGCTATGCGCCATAGCTGAACCACTTGATCCGCTTGATCCACTTCGCTATTGGTCAACTCATTGTACTGACCGTTAGCAAAGTGGATCAAGTGGATCAAGTGGATCAACTAGGCCGTGTGCCTATAGAAAACGGTTATAGAATTTTACAAACTCTTGCAGCAAACACGCCTTTCGTGACAGATAACTGTGCTATTCGTAGTTGGTGCTCGAATGGAACCTTGATGAGCGAAGTTAGATTTTTTCCCACTTTTATTAACTCCATGAATTTATTTTCATTGCAAAATTCGGAGATACGGCTGCAGTCGCTATGCTGAATGCACTACTAGCGATAACAAAATGGCATGTGTTTGCCTTCCCGGATTTACAGGCGATGGGACCACTTGTGAGGATATCGATGAGTGCCTTGATCCTAAGACTTGCAATGTTGATTTGGGCCATGGAAATTGTACCAATACCATAGGTTAGATCTCTTCCCCTTATTTTAAAACTGAAAAAATTGAAAAAGCTTACCTCAGGATCGTACAACTGCACCTGCGCACAATTTTATGACCAACCGCACTGCGATCACTATCGTCCAACTAGACATTGTGCGGATTTACGAAATTACTGGAATTATACCAGTGACGGCGTTTACAAGTGCTTCTTCTTTCGGCTTTAAATATTCCATTGGTCCATCAGTTTTTTACAGTATCACTCCACCCTATCTAGTTCCTGCGTTGAAGGACCAACAAGGCTCTGTGGCAGTCTACTGTGATATGACTACCGGTAAGCTTTAGCTACTTAATGGTTTAAAGCTAGAACAATGAGAATGTGTAGATTAGATCAGCCGAAGTACTAATTAGAAGAGATGCTGTAAATCTCTTGACTGTTTGAAAGCATTTATGGGCAAAAAAAATACACGACACCATCTAGTTGCGGAGCAAGGGGCTTGAAAGTAGCCTATATGAGTGTCACAATTTGTACAAGTGACTTTTAACTTGTAAGTACTTCAAAATCTCTCGAATGCGAATGAACTTTGGAATTTTTTTTTGGGAGGCGTAAATGTCGCTACGTTCCCCTTTTCCAAAGTTACTAGATTATAGGCTTGCAGAATATCCAAAAAGTTGCCAAAAATAGTCAGAGTTCTTAGTTATTGCCTAGCACACCTCTGAAAAATATTAGGTCATTTCATGAGTTCGTAGAGTTTTTATTCTAAATCTTCTTCTATTCTTTTTGCCATTTTCTGATGAAGCGGTTGGTTTACGGCAAAGTATCTGTACTATGTAAAAGAGCCAGTTTTGCTCTATAAGGATTGTTGTACGTTTTCGGAGCAAATCTAAATCCCCTTGTCTGACAACTTCTTAAAGCAAAGCTTTTTGAGAGGCAAAAATTGTCGATCGGCATAAACCTTCAATCGATATACCAAATCATAAGTGGGAATTTTTGATCTGAAATTGTTGTGAGTGATGAAAAACAGCTGCTTACACGATTTTGGTGCATATAAAAGTAGTTTCTTCATATAGGGAGGCATTAAGAGAAAGGATAAAGCGCACTTCTACGTCATGCTCAGATGTTTTCGTTCGGTCCAATTTAGAGAATTACCAACTCCAAAATTTTTTGGGAAAGCATAGAATGTTGACCAGAGCTTGTACTCATACATTTTCACCTTTAGGAAAAAGGAGTACCGACACATTCTGTCTCTAAACAGTGCGCAAATCTCAAGCAGTAGCTGTCAAAGAAAGACAACCACTGAGAGCTTGTTTATACAGTTCTTAGCATACTGTCATGCTGCAAATTTATCATTATACCAATTTTGGTTGCATCCTTCCGCCTACATATGATGATAACATTTTTTGGGATACGGATCAATTACGGAAAGTGCAGTTGCCGAAACCGTCCATTTTTTCCTCTCAAAAAACCTTGCTTCAAGAAGCCATACAGCAGGAGGATCTAGGTGTGCTCTAAAAACAAATAACAATCCTTGTAAAGCAAGATTAGCTCTTTGGAATGGTACAGGTACTTTGTCCAAACGTAAACCAAACGCTTCATCAAAAATTGGCTACCAAAAAAACAAAAACTCTACAAACTTAAGAAACGACCTAACAATTTCCCCAATTGTAAAGGCCAAAAATGAAATGTGAGAAGTAAGTGGAGAACGAGCGGAAGATACTGCAATCGTATAGTTCATGGCTAACCAAAAATGCGCCATAAGGACTATTGTTGTTTTGATAACTTTCCTGCATTAGTCGTCTCGTCGTCTTTCCCTTCCAAGAGCTTTAACCGAATTTATTGTATGTGAGATCAAAAGCACCAGATGTTACGTACTTGTCCAGCAGTCACTCATCTCCTCTTGTTCAACGCTGCAGATATGCAAATAGCATAATTCTACTGTAAATGCACTGAAACTTTTCTCATAAACGGGACCAGTAACAATGATAGTGCGAATGTGGAGACAGTACCGCTTTTGCTATCTATGAAGATGAAGGAGGAACAATGGAGTTAATTTTAGCTTGAAAATTTAGTCCTCCGTGATATCTCTAGGATGTTATATAAGTTCGAAGAAACATCATTATTCTAATGTTTATTAATAAGGAAACCGCTGTTTCAGAAGGCGGTGGATGGACTTTGATGTCGGCTGCGAATGACAGTGAAATGACAAATAGAACTTACAAAAATTACGCAGATGGTTTCGCTAAGGATTCACCGTATTACAATTGGCTTGGCTTGGATTTGATCAGTGGAATGACAACTTATGAAAATACAAGGTTAGTTTTGGTGGTCTTACTGTAAACAATCGATAATCGATACAATGTTACCATTTATTTAGTCTCCGCCTTCAACTGTATCGCTGTGCGCAAAATGGTCTTCTTGCAAAAACTACGGATTGCACCTATAAACACTTCTTGATCAAAGGAGCTGCTGAAAAATATGCGGTTGTCATTCCAGAGGTATGTTGCTAACTTCGGAAAAGCTAACACAAGCTTACAAAAGAAATTACCATTCTTACTAAAAAAAGATACCTTGTCTAGTAAGCAGTGTCCAGCTAAATATGGACACTAAACTTTCCATGCAGATACTGACTGGGAGTACTTGAGTAATCCATTGCCTAAGTTCATCCGCGACCAAGAAATTCGATCCAAAGTTTTCGCCCATACCGTACTTGCGGACACTGGGACCATGGGAGGAGTGCGGTGCTGGGCGAGAACTCAAGGTTGTATTTCTTGATCACGAATGATACATGTGAGTTGCGGTTTGGGCAACGGACGGTTTAGCTATGGCTTCTCAGCATTACACTTAAGAAACCCAGGTTTAACCAGATCTGCAAAGCAGGTTCCTTTGCAGGTCTGCAAAGGAACCGAAAAGGATTACTACGATGGTTGGGCTCGTTGGAATTTAACTCAGCCTGGACCAGCATTTGTCGCATTTGACAATGACGACACTAGTGAGTCCCTCCTTCTTTTCTCTTCCCTCTACTCAATTCTTCTCATATAAAAATACTCAGATAACTGTTCTGCAAATTTCCGCAACACGGGATGGTGGTTTGATGCAAGAAATCGTTGTGGAAGTGCCAACTTGAATGGGGTAAGAAACATTGAATTTTTGTGAATTTTTAAGTTGACTCTCCATTTTAGGTACGGTACTCTTGTGACAACATCCCGAATGATTCGACAAGCTCTACGTACCTTTTCTGGGGTGGAAGTCCCCTGGGACAAGCGTGGCTTTATCTGAGACCGACACTCTTCCCGAATTACGATCCTACACCTCCATAATATCAGAATTAGTGCATCATAGCTGCTTTGATCACTTGTGGATCCTAGTGAATGGAATAAATGGAGTGAATTTTTGGCTTTCGAAGTTTCTTGATTGAACCAAGCTGAATACTTATAGCTTTCAAGAAGATTTTCAGACTTTATCAACATTACATCGTAAAATTTGTAGAGGAAAAGTTCTGCAGAATTTTTTTATACGTAAGGAAGCTGTATACATATGTTACTCACCTGCACAGAGATAAAAGATGAACAGAATATGTCAGGTTGCCGGATAACTTCTATTGCAGTTTCCTTTTAAAATTCTGGAAATTCCGGAAGATTCCTAGAATCTACAAATTTGCTGCATATGTAGAGCACGATAGAGCGTGCACAATAGTACGACTGATGCCACAAGTGCACAAATAGCTAGCAAGTTCACGACAACTTCCCCCCTGTACGCTGAAAAGTACGGGTTTTGCTCCATTACTACATCGTCCTTCCCTCCCCCCCCCTCCCCCGCCCCGATCACCTAGAAGAATTCCAACCCGTCGACAACAATTTCTATAAAATGTAATCCCACCGATAAAGTAGGTGCTTTGCGCACGGACCACGGATCTGAAGTACCGGTGGCTAGACCCTTCCACCCCGTCAACATTCTTGAACATAAGAGTTTGAAAAATCTCCTCGATTTCTACATAAAAATAAAAGTGTAACAGAAATTATCCTCCAACCTAATACATACAATAGCATTGTTGATGTATTGAGTTCCATTATGGTAATCTTATTCTGGGATTTGATCTGTTTTATCTTTCAACGAAATTTGGAAGTGGATACCTTGAAGGTGAGACTAAATCACCTGTACATAATGAGGTAAAAACCTTTAAAGTGGAGACCAGAAGATTTGAATGTATTGAATTCTCACGTTAATCAGAGATAGTTGATAAATAAAAAAGTTTGTAAATGAAAACTACCGTTTTTCGAAATTCGAACAAATTATTCAGTGAAGCCTTGTGTTTGGCAAAATTCTGGATCTCGTTGTTCTCTCAGCGAAAATTTTCGTAATGTGCTTCTACGGAAAAGCACGAGTTTCTGAATCTGCTCATCTCCATTGTACTTTTCCATAAATCTCGCATCAGCCAAATTTGTTCTTGGAACAATCTTCATTTCCACCAATTTAACTTCTTGTAATCTTCAAAAATTCTAGCTACTCGCCAGAAAACCTAGGATCCCCATCTCACAACCCGAGTGTTTGCTTGAAGTTACATAAGATTATTTCCTTATATTAAGTGTTGTCGAAGCTTGTTTTCAATAACAAGTTGACGTCACCATTCTCTTAAGATCTTGTTGTTCAGAGCTGGACACTCGTCGTGGTATTGTCAACAACTTGGCAGTATTTTACCAAACTTTATTGAAATTAAAGTTGTGAATCGATATCTATACAATGAAGAAAATGAAAATAGGAGTCTGAGGAAGGGAGCAATTTTAAACATAGAAAAAAAGTAAGAAGTCAATGAGAATAAATGAAAATAAAAGATATTGAGCAAATAATTGAGTAGATAAGTGAATAAGTAAAAAGCTATTTTTGCGGTTCTGTATGAGTAACTAGAATGTATGCGGAAGAAGCCAAAACCAAGGATTCAAAAATTATTAAAATAAAATAAAGAGAAACTATATAAATGAAGCAGGGCAAATAATTGAATAAATGAGTGAATAAATATTCAAACTTCTTTGGTTTGAAAGCG